CAGACACCACTCCCGCGAGAAGCTGCTCTAAATCCTAAACCCTAAACGCAAAATCCTGAACCCCTAAACCCAAAACCCTAAACCCTAAATCCTAAACCCTAAACCCAAAACCCTAAACCTTAAATCCTAAACCTTAAACCGCGAAACTTGATAAGCATCCACGCGGCGTAGGGTATATAGGGGTTACTATAGGGGGTTATATTGGGATAATGGAAAATAAAATGAAAATTACTATTTAGGGTTTAGGGTTTAGGGTTTTAGGGTTTTAGGGTTTAGGGGGGCAAATCCCTCAGAACCCATGAAGCTCTCTTAGAATCCCTTGAGATCCCTCAGAAACCCCTTAAACATCCTTTCTGGGAACTCCTAGAGATCCCCTAGAAAATCTGAATTCTAAACCCTAAAGCATAAACCCTAAACATCCCTAAACCCCAGGCCCTAATAGAAACCCCTGGAAACTATAAGCTCGTAGCCCCTGCAGGCCCTTCTTCGCAATGCCGGTGAGGCCCTCCCGGGCGGGGCAGTCCACGCGCTTGTAGCCTGCGCAAGGGTTTTGGGTTCGTTTAGGGTTCAGGGTTTATAAGGTCTTAAGGCCAAGTAGGCATATTAATGCCAAATGAGACTAACGGATCTTGCCTGGGTGTGACTTCGGGGCTAAGTTCTACTCAGGATTTTGGGAGTTCTTACTGGGGCGTTGGGGAAAAGATTGCCGCTATAACTTACTAGTATCCCCCTTAACAACCCCTATAGTAGTCCCCTATATAATCCCCCATATCCCCCGCTTTAAGGAGCTTAATTAAACTAAAACTCAAATGGGTTCAGGGTGCAGTTTGAGGTTGGACGGTTCTGGGCTCAGGGTTTGGACTGGTGGCGATATATCTGCAAAAATGAGTCCGTGCACACCCCCCAGGAGCTAAACCCTAGACCCTGAACCAAGAAGGCACCAAAAGGACCACATAAACACAAGCATCCTCTCCACTACGGGGAACCTTGAAAACCCGAAAGCAGAAGTTTTGTGTTGAGGTGCTCTGTTGGGGGACCACCTATCAGAGGTTTCGGTTTATGGTTTAGAGCTCACACCCCCACCCCCTCCCCAAAGCTCCAAATGAATTGATGATAGAGAAAATCTTCAGGTGCCTGAAGTACAGTGGTTCCTAGGATTTGAGGATTTGGGGGGGGGCTTGGCGTGAAGAAAGATTTGAAAGCCCCGGAACGAAACCCAGGTCCAACCATACAGGCCCTGCATGATGATTTAGGTACTGGAGTTTCAACGTGTCACTTTTTTGTCATAAAGCTGCGGACAATGAAGTTTCGCACTGAGGTTTCCTGGGTTGGCCCCTAAAACCCTTTGAAAAATATTAATATGTAGGGTCCCCTATTAAAGCAATTAGGAAAAATTAAATATCCCAGGGGCCTACTCAGTTTCTACACAGGGCACTGAGATCAGGTGTCTCTCCTCCAGTGCTGCTGGACAGTGGGATCTTTTTTGCGCGTGAACAAGGTTACTTTGGTTGGCGGTCGCTTTATCTGCTGCCCATAGAAGCTGACAAAATCGCTTCATGCTGTAAAAAATATCCCTCTGCTTCATCTCCTGTAAAACAAAGCCCCAACCCAAGAGACCAGCAACATGTATAAAACAGGAGCATCAACATCTAAATCGACATTCAATTATTGACTTCCCGGCAGCCAGATTTTGCATGACTACAAAGAGCTAAACCCTAAGCCCTAACTCTACTCCTGCTTGGCTGCATAACTCCTATCACCACACACAATAAATGTTCCACAAGCGGCTGACCCTATTTCAAGGTAGCAGCCCATGGTAAGCCCCATAACAATCCACAGGGTTTGGGGTTTAGGGTCATAAAGAAGAGCCCACTGTGAATAAGTCACCCAACAGGGTTCAGCTTGTCACCGCACGTCCGCGCCAAATGGTGCGCCATGGAGCGTGATATCGGGCCTTGGCTTCGCCCGATGTAGGGGCCTAAATACTTACTAGTGGATAGTAGGGAATAAGGGAATATGATCCCTGTATAACCCCTATGTAATATATTCCTTCATTCCCTAACCCTGAACCCTAAACCCTGGACCCTATATATTCCCTTATTCCCTACCAACTCCAGTAAGAATAAGGAGCATAGGGTCTTCGGCGGCTTCCAGGCTTCGAGATGAAGGGCTCAAGCCACGTCTTACACTTCTTTTGACCGGCTCCTATACTACCAGAGCAACAAGGAAGCACGAAGCACCAGAACAGTTTGGGATACGCCCTGCGTTCTGTTGCCGAAAAAATTCTTCGCGATTATGAAATCTGCACCTTACGGCAATCTCCCAAAGAAGAACAACACGAAAGCAACTGCGCAGTGGGTTGGAGGAAAAGCCCTAAACCCTAAACCCTAAAAACTAAACCCTAAACCTACCTAAAGATACTTTCAGGCTGACCACGTAGTCCGAGCTCAGCTCCATGCTTGCATAAAGCAGGGACATCACCACTATCACTTGAAGTCTTTTTGAAGTACAGGTCAGGGTTTCGGGTTAGGGTTCTTGGGTCAATCCCCCACCCAGTAATGGGTACCACAAGGTACTGTCGTAGATAGATTAAGGCCCTATTAACTTCATATTAAGGACCTATTACTCTAAGGGGGACTGACCTAGCATGTACCATACTTGTACGAGCAACCTAGGACCATAATATTGGCAATTATTACCCTAAACCCTGAACCCCAAATCCTAAACCCCTAAACCCTACACATCGCCTACAACCCCCTTAAAGGGACCATAGCATTGGTAATTCTTTAGGCCCCTAGAGTGCTCATCCATGTCTGGCTCGGTGTTGGGACTTCAAAGCTCTAAGGCTTCTAAGGCCTTGCATAATCACAAACACTTTGCCCATACCATTTTACTCAGAAAAACTTAGTACCCAATGATTAGATACTTGGGATTTGGATAATAGTATCTCTAGTACAGGTTTTGGGTAAGTACATGATTGACAGGCGTTTTCCCAAGTTAGCGGTACCCTTGCTGGTGTCCCCATTTTGCGGGTCATAGCACATTGGAGTTCATATAGGGTTCCATTTTTGGGGGAAACTACCGTGTTCATTTTCCAAGCACGATCTAAGCTGAGGGAGTGTGCTCAAAGCGTAACTAGGAGGGTATTCGGGTTTAAGGTTTAGGGCTTACAGAGTAGACTTTCAACGATTAGTGTCGTCCATCAAGCTTATGATAAATTACAGCCAAGTTATACCCTAAGCCCATCCGTATGATGACTTCCATCACTTCAGGGCTTTTCAGACCTTCAGATTACAGTGGGTGTGGCCTGATTCAGTGACAGGGCAGGCGAACTTGAGAAAACCTACACGAATGCATGTCTCACCTACAGCGCGAAGATAACAGATGTAACTCACAATGCAAACTCCGAGCTCAGTTATTCGGTGATCTACCTGCTTTGCTTTCTGTATTTTCTCAACTTTAATCTCGCTTACCCTTTTTTTGGTTTTGCTGCCGTCTCCGTCCGGCATCTCATTACCGTCCTTTCTCCTGTCTACAGAAATGCTAGTGAAGTCAATCACTATTCGTATGGGAACACGCCGGGCCAAGCCATATACACGAAGACTGGACGCGAGGACGCGACACGAAGACAACTACCCGAGGTGAAGAAACGAGGATGCGACACGACGCAATGACATGCCAATGGGCACAAGGAAACGACACGAAGACAAAGGACTCGACACACGGACAACACACGAGGACACGACACGAAAATGAGGGACACGACATGAAGACACGGGGATAGGACACAAAGCTACCACACGACACAAGGACACGACGCGAAGACACAACCAACACGACGCGAAGACATAAGAAAAATAACTGGCACGACACACGACGCGAGGCCCCGACACGAGGACAAAGCCACGACGGGAAGACACGACGCGAGACGCGGCACGAAGACACAAATATGACACACACGACGCACTATGCAAGGACAAGACACGAGGACGCAACACGACGCGAAGAGAAAGGCACGAGCGTGAAGACAGGAGGATACGACACAAAGAAGCAACACGACACTAGGACTCTACACGAGAAACGACTCGAAGACACGACACTAACACCGGGGACACACCACTCGACAGGAGGACACAACACGACCACGACAGACACGACATGAAGACATGAGGATCAGGTTACGTCAGCAAAATACTACACGACGCGAGACACGACATTAGCAAGACGGACACGACACACGAACACGACGCGAACACGACGGATACGAGGATTTTACACTAAAAGCAACGACGACACGACACGAGACAAAACACGAAGACAAGACACGAACACCCCGGACACGACGCGCTCCAACAGTTACAAGGATCGCGAAGCCGACACACCCCATCCCCTTGACATCCCGTGCCTGGTGACACTTTTGACACAAGAGTGTCCAACAGCGACGACAGTTACAGGGATGGCGACCTGAAGGCCTCCAGCTGGGTGGCGACAATCGGGGACGCTTGTGAACGCTTTGCGGACGCGCGTGGACGCTCCGGTCAATTCCTCGACCCCTGGACCCCAACCCTTTTTCTTCAGGAAAAAAAAACATGTCCGTGCACGACGAAGGCGTCAAAGCACTTGGCGAGTTCATTATCATTATCTGTCTCACGCCTACATACGCAGAGTGGTTATAACCTGCGTGCTTGCTACCCCCTTAGACTCAAATCCAAAGACAAACTCACATGCTGGAGGTAACCCACACACCAATTTGACAAGGAGTTCAGGACCACAATATTGGTGGAAGCTTCTGCATTAACCATATATAGCCGAAACAACGCTGCATTTCTCTGCCTTCTGGAGATGGCGGAAATTCTGCATCAACTTACATACCCTCTATACTCTATACCATAGGAGTTACCGGTGTTGTGGAGGGTCCTAAGTAGAGCAAGATTTCCCGCACCCTAGCCCCTCAAGCATGAACCCAGGAATGCAAGAGCTTCAATGAGAAGGCGAGCCGCACAAATTGGCAGTTGTTGGCGTCCAGCACGGGGTTCGGTACCAAGCCCACATCCTCGGTCTCTAAACCCTAAATAGTCTAGAATTCAGAGTGCAGGGCTTCCAGACTGAAGGGCTAAGGATTTTGGGCTTGCCTTGGGTATAGCAAGAAAACAAAAAAGAACCAAAAACGAAAACTGCACAAAGCTTCTGGGGACACCCATGATGGTGATTTTGCAGATCTTTTCATTCCTTGAAAAGATGCCGAGATGTTGCTCCCCTAGACCCCTAGGCCTTAAATCCTGAATCCTCAACTCTACACCTTACTGTAGGGCCCAAGGTTTATTATGGGTTCAACTAGTACCCCCCTCTATACTACCCCCCTAGGTTCCCCCCGTAATTAAGGTTATTTAGGGATAATTAGGCTTCATTAAAGTTAATTAAGGGGGAACCTATGGGGGCCAGTATAGAGGGGGGTACTAGTTGAACCCATGAGTTTAGGGTCCAGCGTTTAGGGGTTTAGGGCGTGGGCCAAGACAACTAGCATAGGGGCTTTCGGGATTTTTGTACGTTAGCTATGAATGAGAATGATGCGGGCAAATTGAGGATTTTGAAAACAATGGGGTCCCTCGGAAAGAGTTATACGGGTAGGACCCCACATCCTAGAACCTGAAAACCCTAAAATCCCAAAACCTGACAATCCTAAAGCCGAAGCCGCGTGTTATATAGGCCGTTGTCTATACTCCTAGTATCCCCCTTAATAACCCCTATAGTAGTTGCCTATATAACCCCCTATATATCCTCTTTAAGGAGTTCAGACTATAGTACATGTAGGCCTACCCTGCATTTATGGCTTTGAGCTCCCCAAACATGAGCCCCTCTATTGGAAATCCGTCTGTTTGTGTGGCTATTTGAAGGGGAAGGTATAAGTTTTAGGGTTTAGGGGGATCAACTTTGCTTTAAGTCACCAATGTTTTCAGCTCCATGGCAGGCAAAATCAAGTACATCAAGCACATGTCGTGCAAGTTTGACTGGGCAGTACGAACGGAATATGTTGCAGGAGCTAGGGTCAGCAGTCAACTAGATCTTGTACAGCCCCTTGGTAGTTCTGCTTTAATTAACTCCAGAGGAATTCTCATTTGATCTTGACATTGTCGCCTCAAAATCGTCAGAAGGCGTCCACAGCTCCTTGACAACTTCTCCTGGATGTAGCTACTGTGAAAAACTCCTGCGCAGAGTACGCAGAGATCCTACATAAACCAATCCTGATGCAATTCCCTAAACCCTCAACCCTAAACCCTAAAACTTCTTTCTCAGACCTAAGCAGCGACAACAGCGCTTGCAGACTGCTTTGCAGAAGCTGACATGGTTTGGGGGTTTAGGGTGCAGATGTTAGTTGCACTCAGGTTCTAATTGAGTTCGGTTCTAATTGAGTTCGGGCAGAGAGCTTGAGCGTGTTGGGGTGGGTTCAGGGCTTTTGGGTTTTGGAGCGTTACGGTTTAAAAAGTTCAGGGTTTCAGGATTCTTTGATGCTGGGGCTCAAGGGCTGATGCCAACCATCAGCTGGATCGGCTACGTGTTCTCACTCCTTTCATGGGTGTTGAGGGTTTAGTTTAGGGCTTAGGGTCAAAAAGGACGCCTAAACTCGGAAACGCAAAGCCGGGGTTAGGGTTTACTTGAAGGGTCAGGGGGGCAGAGTAAGTATACTAGTAACCCCTAAAGCCAGATAACAACCCCAGCTATCCCAACTATTCACCTACTTACTAAGTCTCACTGACCCTTCAAGCAGGATTACCCCAATACCCCGAGCCCTTACCCCTTCATCCTAGGTGTACGGAGATTACCGTGCTGCTAAGCATCGCTGGGCGCCCAACTGCCTTTCGGCAGCAGCCTCTTGTGGACGTAGAGCACCTCTAAAACCTTGAGGTTTCACAGATTTCTTGACTAGGTTTCCCTATTAAACCCTTATAATAAGGGTACCCTTTTGCCTACTGTTCAGCTTTAATAAGGAGACGGGAAAAAGGGTACTAATGGGGTACCTAGTTTAGGGATTCTATGAGGAGCAGGGCCCAAGGCTTCACTAGGGGCGTAGGGGAGTATGCAGAGCAATTCCAAAGCCTCATGAAGTTCAGGGTTCCCCTCAGACCCTCCGAAGTGTAGTCAAGAAGTTGCTAGGAACTTTTCCTAGGCTCGCTTCTGAATTTTGACGCCCCGAACCCTAAACCCTAAACCGCAGAGCCCCCAGTCCTCCATGGTCTTTGCAGGTTTACAGCTACCCAAGGGTAGAAAGGGACTGTTTAAAGCACCTGTCCGAAACCTTGGTCAGCATACTCATTTGCAGCGGGATCTTTACTTGCCTGGGGTTAGTAGGGAATAGGGAGACTGCTTTATAGGGATTATATAAAAATCATGTTCCCGTATTCCCTACTAACCGCCAGTAAACCAAAGCCTGTATTCTGTAACCTTTGAGTTTCCATGGAAGGAATATGAGGAGATACCAAGAACCCCAAGAGATTCTCCTGCAAACCCTAAACCCTAAACCCTAAACCCTAAAAGGTTCTCTCCACGAACTCCGGAGCCTCTGGTTGACAACGAGATGCTTCAAAAGCTTTACATAAGCGTCATGAGAGGGTTAGCTATGGATGGCGTGGGCATTTCTCCAATACGGCTTCTTTTACCTGCAATCCCCTAAACTCCTTAGGACTACACTATAATCGAACAAAAATAATCTTTCTTTGTAGGGAATAAAGGATTTTGCAATATAAGGGCCTAGTATGGATGATATTCGCGTATTCCCTGCTAAGAACCAATAAATGCTCCTAAGGAGACGACAGTTACATGTCTCAAAAAATGAGTCGCTCATGATAGCAAGTCCTCCTCACCAGTTCCCACCCCTTCAACAAAAGGCCTTTTGGATTTGGGCTTTTAGGGCTTAGGGTTTTAGGGTTTTGTTGTTTAGGGTTTAGAGTATCTGGTCTAGGGCTTAAGGTGACCAAGTTTGAAAGACTCCCACCTGATCTTTGCGGTACCTTCGATCTCCACAAATTGAAGCTTCACAGAAGGGAGTTTGGGCTTGAAGGGCTGAGGTTTGTGGGGTTTTTGGGTTTAGGGTCGAAGGTACGAACTGTAAGGTTTCAGGACTTACAATTTGGGTTGAGGTGGGGAGTGTCAAGGCTCCATATCTCTCGTTAAGCCTATGAAGCCATTGCGCTCAATGTTGAGCATCCTACAACGCCAGGCTTAGCCATGTTTCGCATAATTGGGTTTGAGGTGTAGGAGGGTTGAGGGTAGTTTGTGGCTGCGCGGTTTTGTCTAGATTCTGGCCGATCCTCTCCGGCAACATTCTCGTACCGAAGCACCAAATTGAAGCCTGGAAGCATTGTTAAGGCTCAGCACTGTGACAACTACCAAAGCACAAATGCCCAAAACAGCGACCCACAAGCAATGCGACGACCTTGGACACTCAAGTGGATCTTGCTCGCACCAAACCCTAGATGTAAAACCCTAGCTTGACTTCGTACGCTTCGGGTTGCATCCTTCATCTCTAATCATTTTCGGTAACTTAGGGGCATATCAAGAGTCAGCGCTAAAGCCAAAGGCCAAAGCACCAGAAGTTGAGCTCGAAAGTTGCGAAGCAGTGAAAACTGAAGCGCATCAGAATACACGCAAGCCGACCTTTCAACGATCAGCTCTATACCAGTTGCATGCATCTTTACCCGTGACCCAAGCTCCAAATCCAGAGGAGCAGCGGAGAGAATTATAAGAAAGGAGAAGATCGCGACGCTTTGTGCCCCGAGACCTTCACCTTTGAAACGCTACAAGGCTCGGAAGCCCTGCCAAATACGTGGCTAGTTAACAATGCATGGCACGCATCCTGTGGATGTAATTGCACAAGAGGCTGTTCTGAAGCTTAGCATTCAACATGGCATGCTCCAGCATCAAGCACTCGACTTCCTCCAGCATACTGCTAGCAAAGTCCGTCCAACCTTTTTGCATGGCGTATCGTGCACGCTGTCGAACTTTGCGTATTTTGGCTGCCCGGGCCAGGCCAGCTTCGTCAAGTCTTTTGCCAAAGCCCTGATTCCCAACCAAATCTTGCAGCGCATGGCGAGTCTGCACGACGTTTCCAGCACATAGCTTTAAAGCTAGCTTGGCCTGCTCAGCTTTGCGGACTAAACCAGCGTCCAACATCTTCTGCAAGATTATCTTGCTTTTTGAAGTCGAATCTATTCTCAGGGCGTGCATCTCCAAATGGCAATTCACGCTCGCACGAAACCCCAGCTCGGAAAGAAGAAAAGCGCGCAAACAGTCCAGCACTGTGATGTGCTTCTGCTTGATGCTCAACCTGAGCGACTGGGAATGTCCAAACTGCCCAATATTGCCTTCAGCATCAAAAAAACCTGCGAAGTATGGCCAACTACAAGCACTTGGGCAAGCTGAATCAATGTGCTTGCAAAAGGCAAGCTCCAAGGCTGCTTCATGCCTGGTGGACTTGCACACAGGCCAGTGCATAGCAATCTCAAGTTGAGTTTTCTTGACAATGCTGAGAGGTGCCAGCATGCTGGCTACTAAGCGAGCCTGCTGACCAAAAACGCTCCAGTGCAACACAGGCTCATGAAGACCTGCGCCACTCTGTGCGTTTCGTATGCTGCCACCGAAGGCAGTTAGGAAAAGGTATAAGACTGCCGCCCCTCGATAGGACTGGCCGACGAAAAGCTGACATCCGGACAGGTCCGAGGTGGGCATCGCACATCCATCTCCGTCAAAGAATCCGGCCAAGTATTGAAGCTTCTCTCTTGGGACCTGTTTTATTTCGGGGCTTTTACGAAATATTTTCTGGGGCAAAGGGTAGACGTTGCCGTTCACCTCAAAGGAGCTGAGCCGTGGCCAAGGAAGAGCTTTGATCTCGGCACGCAACTGGTTATTCTTTGCTTGCAGTTCTTTCAGCGTGTGTCCGGACACGACTGAACAAAGTCTAGCGGTGTGCGCGTTTGGTGTTTGTGATATGCTTGAAACTGCCAGACGCCTGCAGCTCCACAGCATGAAGAGCTGCTGAACATCGGAAGGATGCTGCAAAAAATCAAGCCAAAGGGATCACCTCGCCCTGATTAACCATGCGTCCACTAACCTGGAAAACGCTACACCACTACGCAGCATGTCAGGGCTTGAGAAAGCAGAGCGTCATAAGAATCCTAGAATATCATTGGGCAGGACTCATGGTGCAGCAGCTCAAACATAGCTAAGTTTGGAGCAGCTCCGGTAGATGGCCACCCAAAACAATGACCGTTGGCCAAAATGACTGACAGCCTTCGGCACGTGCACATGTTGAGGGTACAGCTTGATCTTCATTGCCGTGCTTGGCGTTCTGTCAACACTTCGAGCTCAAGCAACCGTAATGAGGCCCCTTCACTAGTAACAGTCCCCAAATTTATCAGCGCCTGGCTCTCCGCCCTGTTTGATATTTCCTGGTCGCATGAACATATGACAGCCCGTAGACCTAAGGCTAGAGCAAACCCCATAGCTGGGAATGTCTGAAGCGACAAGCCTCACTCTAAGGCCAAGCACGTGGGCCTGTATAAGCAGGACGTTTCCGTGCTGCACACCCTTAGGCAGATTTTCCTTGAGTTGTTCCGATGTGACACCGCCTAGAATTAGTCGCATACCCTGCAGAAGCAAGCCGAAGCCCTCGCCACCACTTGACAATAACCAACCAGGCGAGTAGCATCATGGTCACCAGATACTGTTCAAAGGGGTACGCCTGTGAATCTGGCATTCGCTGGGCGCGCGCCAAAACTCTTCAAATCTTGTCGCATCTTGGCGCCAAGCTTGTAGCCGCTACGCCACAGCCCTCGCGTAAGCTTAATCACGCAACCTTCACACAAAAGTTGCAACAGCTGTCGACCATCTATATTACCCCTGTATGATCCCTGAGGCATTCTGAAAGCTGCCAGGGGGACATCAGGAAGTTGGCAACCACCCACGTCGATGACGTCGCCGTAGCCTCAGACAAGGAACCAAACTTGTTCTACTTACTGGGGCTTAGTAGGGCATATGGGTATTAGGGTTAGTACAGTAGGCAATGAGGGAAATACAAGATTTAGGGTTTCGGGTTAGTAGGGAATCAAATCAAGGAATATATGTGATAAAGGGAATATATTCCCTCATTCTCTACTGGGAATCAATATGTCTATGGGCACTGTAAACACGTAGAAATAACATGGAACCCTCATAGACTACATCAAGGCTGCATGCACTACGGCTCTTCTTAGCAATGGTCGTTTGCCTGCCCCTTCATGCATGCTTCCAATAGCTGTTCTCAACATCGCCAGCTGATGCAATGAGTTCTCCTCAAGGTTCAGAGGCGTGACTGCACCAGCATCCACAACACCCTCGTGCCAGCCATGGTCATGCGCCCGACCCACCGCTCACGGCATGGTTAGGGCTTTGGTCTTGGCTGTGAAGACACAGGAATTGTACAGGACTGTGAAGAATTGAGATGAGATAAGAGCACGCATGGATTCAAGCAGGAAACATGCAGAGGGAGTGGAAAGGTTGTAGAATCAAGCAAGCAAAACCAACACCACCCCTTTGTGTGTTGGTGGTGCGGGGGGATACCACAGGCGGACTGGCCATGCCAAGGGGGGAAGTAAGTACTGCCCTTGCAACAACTTGCTGGCTCTTAGTAGGGAAGATGGGAATATACTTTTTGTGGATTATATGCCCCTATGCCCTACTAAGCACCAGTAAGAATGGGGTCTACAAATCATGGTCTTGCATTGCCATTGTCCTCATGGCAGCGCTCCTAAAAGTCTTAAGGGTTTAGGGTTCAGGGTAGCATGTATATACGCCTGTTGACATCTGATTCACCTCGCAACAAAAAACAAACTGTATACCAGCACATTATAAAACATGTGTTTGGTTTCATATTAGGATATATAGGGAAACATTTTCAACAATGACTCAGATATGACCTTGACTACAGTGTATCACACATATTGTGATTCCCAAAAATAGGCTTCCAGAGAAACTGATCTGTATCAAAACGACCCCAAAAAATTGATCCCGAACACAACCCTTGTATAGTTGGACGGCAAATTTAACCTCGGCACAACTCAACTTCTAGAAGTTTTCAATCCTCCCACAAAGACAATAGAATCCCCTGTTGAGGGTTTGGGCTTGGGGTGCTTGAAAAGCACTCATATCCCTTGCATAAGCCTGGCCAAAAACACAAACTTAAGCCAATGCCAAACCGCAAGTAGGGTTTAGGGCTTAGGGTTTGGGCTCAAACCCCTATACCCTTAACCCTGAGATCCCAAGCAAAAAAAATTAGCCACCATGCCCCACATGGCGCATAATGCATGAACTGAACCCCGATATACGCCTAGTTTCCATTCAATTTTCCATTTCCTTTCTATTTGATTCTCCATCCCTGGCAATTCACAGCCCGAAGCAGTCTGGTGCCGGCCCAGAAGCTGTTGCCATGGGCATGCAGTAGGACGAACTGATCCGCCAGCTTCTCTAAGGCGAGCGCCTGCAAGCAAGCTTCTTTCAAGAATATCGTGCTAAAGGAGTTTGGTTTGGGCCGAACCCTAACCGGGGTACCGGGTTCATGGAGTTTAGGGCTTGGGTGGTTTTGGGTCCAAGAAGGTTAGGCTTTGGAGGTGTACGGATAAGGTTAAACTTTTAACTTTATCGGTTTAGGATTAGGCTTCAGGGTTTAAGGTTTAGGCTTCGGTCTTTGGATTGTTCGGGGCTCCAGAACATGTACTTGAGGTCTAGAGGAGCCATGCGCCGGCTACTCGGCAATTTGCCTAAGTTACCGTTCTCCCAAATGGGAGAAACTAATCCAAGAAGCCGTGATGGCGTTGTAACTCTAACAGGCATTTGCTCAGTCTACGTAAGAAAGTGACCTCGATACCTGGGGGATTGTCAAAATTATGGTCCCTTTTTGGGTCTCTATTATAATATGGGGCCTAATTTAGGGGACCCAAAAAGGGACCATGATTTTGACAATCCCCCACCTAGTGATTCCATGTTGGGCAGCACCTCTGGGCCCCGAAGCAATCCATCTGAGTAGCGTTTTTTTGGTGGTTAAACCCAGTAAGATAATATTCCTTATATGAGATACTTACCCCAAAAGTAAGATAGAATCTTACTCTATATTGGGTACCATAGTATCCCCATATAAGATACTACTCATCTGTAGTTTCGCCCAAGAGCATGAGCATGAGTCTGAGAAAGGGTTTATCAATGAAATCAGGCAACGCAGTGCTCCTCTATTCTGCAAAGGCACCTGAGCAAAGCGAAATGCGCAAGATGCCATCCAGCAGACTAATCCCCTCCCCCTGATATTAAAACCTCCCACTCCTCTGATACGAAATTCCCTCAATGTATTATAGTATACCGCCATGGGAGTATCTAATATTAGAGGGGTGGGGGTTTTTGCTGCTCGGGGGAGGGGATTCCTCTGAAGATCACATGTCTCCCTCAGTTTATCGCCAGCAAAGATATAGCCATGTGGAGGCTTAGAGAGAAAGAGTGAGAGCCTTTAGTGACCGGAGAAGCAGATGGGGATTATACGCCCCCCCCTTGAGACCTACGTAGGAGTTGTTTTCAGCCGCTTCCAAATCATCAGCGTCCTATCCCCGACCCTTCGAACATGAACCCTTCCACGCCGTAAGCGAGAGAGCCACATATCAAGACCTCAATCCCTGAACCCAAGCCTTACACCGCAAGCCCTCAGGCAAACGCAGCCCCATGCCACTTCAAAAAGCTCCCCACCTCAGGACCCTAAACCCTCACCCCAATTAGCCCGACCGTGAAGCCCAACTCCAAAATACCTTGGTCTCGTAGTCGCCACTTCGTGTGGGCCGACCAAGCCAGTGCAGCTCAAGGCAGATTCTGCAGCAGTCAATGAGGCATTCTGGAAGGTTTTTGGATTTAGGTACCACTTGGACCCTTTTGGATATCTATGGACTACAAGGAGATTTGGGGATCCCTTGACAAGTATAAAGGGATTACTTCACGAAACTATCAAGTTAAGAGAAACAGGAGAATCTGATAATATGCAGCAACGTGGCGCCCTATGACGTTTTGCAAGGTCTCCCAAAATTCTTTGCAAGTTGCAATGTACTGATGCTCTGAAGCACGGCTTTCTGGGATGGAAGAGAGGGCGCGTCAGATTCTAGCTGAGCGGAGACTGTAGGGCCAAAACATCAGGGTTCAGGGCCGTGACCTTCTAGTGCCTCCGAGGATTCCTACAGTGGCTGGAAGGAATCTTGCAACAAGGGTTCAGGGCTCACCCTATAAAACCCTAACCTAAAACCCTAAACCCTGAGCCCTAAAACCTTAAAACCCGAAAACCCTAAACCCTAAACCCTAAATAGTAGTTTCCATTGTATTTTCCATAATCCCAATATAACCCCAGTATAACCCCTATATATTCCCTATAAGATCCCCTATCTTAAACCCTAAACTCTCATCCTATTAAACGCAACCTAGGCTCTGGTCGAATCGCTTCAAGACCTCCTTCGGCGTTGCCCTGAAAGAAAGACACCAGAGCGACGCGGGGCTGAGGGTTTAGGGCTCAGGGTCTGGCTTAGGGTTTCGGGTTTAGGGTTTAGGGATTTAAGGATGTAGGGATTTACGGATGAGGGTTAGGGCTTGGGGTGTAGGGACTGGAATCAGGGCTTGGAGTTTAGGGTTGCAGCCTGACCCTTACCCTAAAATAGGGCTTAGGCCTTGAGGCCTGTGGTTTAGGATTAAAAGTTTGGGGTTTAGGGTCAGGGTCTAGACAATGGGGCTTAGGGTGTAGAGGTTAAGGCGTAGGGTTTGAAGGGAACATGCCACAATTTTCCAAAAACCTTGCTTAAACCTTAAACCCTGAACCCTAAACCCTAAGCCCTAAACCCTAAAGCCTAAACCTGAGGATCTCCCAACAAGTAGATTCCCCAACCCGGGCGAAACCTCTCTCAACAACCAAAAACGTCCTTGGGCTTATGGAACATCCTGGAGTCTTTGCGAGATGCGTCAGGATATTCAGCATGTTTCTAAGTACTTCGAGGCCGCGGGGTCTGAGAACAAGAGACCCCAAAGCAACGTAACCCTGTTTCCCAATATTAGGGGTAGCTTCGAAGGGTCCCCAGAATAAGCATTACAGCATCTTGGGGTCTATATTGGGGCCTTGCTATTCTGGGTTGCTGTTAAGGAACTTAATCTAAGTTACCATAATGGGTATATATAGTAAAAAAAAATAAGATTTGCCCAATATAGTAACTTAAATTAAGTTCCTTAACAGCAACCCAGTATTTTGGGAAACTACCATTTATGTTTGAGCTGGCGTGAGGTTTGGGTATCTGCCAAGGTTGTGGACCTCATGTAAACCCCTTGAACAATGAGGGGGGTCTTGGCACAGGAGTCCCCGAAAGCGTTTAGGATTTAGGGTCTAGTGGCTGCAGGCGTGAGAGCTTACAAAGTGCTTAGAGTTTGGGATGTAGGATTACGAGGGTTTGCGGTACTGCTGCTCCCTCAACCCCAAGCCCTGTTGGTATCACTGATCCCTACGTACGCCAAACACGCAACGTCAAACCCGCAACCGACTTCTCATGCAGACTGAACCCTGAACAAACCGAGTCAGTCTGAGTAGCAAGATAGCAGCGAACCTGAGTTGTGCGGTGATGAACAAGGCTTTGGGGGTCGGCATAAGACAGACAAATCAGACTCCAAATACCAAATGTGGTAATAACAGCAACAACTTTTGCAGCGTTATGCTAGCGCGAGTTCTGGCTGCAGTTTTTTGGTAAAGAAAATCAGAAACATATCACTTCTCACACCAGTATTGCACGTGGCAAAAAACCGACGCCTAGAAAGGTCTCATCCCGATCTCCTGCGCCCACAACATCTCAACACAAACTCTCCTCGGATTGAATACCGCTTGACAAGCCCAATAAAGTTATGTGGGGTTACTCCATCTTACAATATGGAAGTTTGAAGAGATGGAGGTTTCGCCCTATACCCCAAAGCAATGTCATCCTTATCATGCGGGACACCTCGAAGGGACCCGTTGGACCCGTTGAAACCTCCCGGCTTTCCATGAACCCTGGAGCTTACGCCTTTGGACACAAAGCACGGAACTTGGAGCTGAAAGTTCCAAGAATGACTTGGCTAGGATGGCTTTGCCATCAGACTGCGCAGGCCTAAATGATCAGAAAAGGGTGTTGCAGGGTTTAAGGCTTAGGGTACTACAGAGCATAAGAAGGTCAAACAGGGATGATATAATCAGTTCTGCACTGCATAAGTGCTATACGTGGAGATTTGAACGCTAGTTCTTCTTATAGAAGGATCAGTCATAAGGGAACTGCATAACTTGCTGTTTGCGCTTGTATAAGGGTTCTAGGGTGATCGTATTACGAAGTACGTGCAGCCGGAAAAAGGTGATACCGGGTTCTAAACCTTAAACCCTAAACCTACGCTACATGTCAAGTAACGTAAACCTGTCATTAAGAAAGCCCCTCCTTTTCAAGGCCTTAATATTAGGATTCCTCTTATAATACCTACTCAGGGGAGGGGGTGTATAAATCACGGGTGTACATTATCCAGAAACTCCTCAAACCATCTTCCGTGTCGCCAAGATACTCCGCGCCCTCTACGTCCGCCTGCTTCAACATGGCACACGGCTTACAAATACTGCGCTGCGACAGGCTGCAAGTTTGGTGTTGGATGCTCTTAAGGTTTCATCTAAATTCAACCCTCCCAACACTTCCTGAAGCACCAATAAGTTACGGGCTTGTGAGCTTCGAGTTTTGGGGCTTTGAATTTCAGGCTGGTTGAGGTCAAGACGACGTAGGATTCAGGTTGGTACGGATTCTCATACGGAGGGTTTCGTGTTTACGGGTTGAGGTTTAGGAATTCGGGTTAAAGGTTTAGGGACTAGGGTTTAGGATTTAGGGTTTAGGGATTAGGGTTTGGGGTTTAGGGATTTGGGTTCAGGGTTCAGGGTTCAGGGATGCTACCCCAAGAATGGAAAACAAAATGGCAACTGAAATTGAAAATGATATGGAAGATGACATAGAAACTGGGATTATATAGGGGTTCACAGAGTTGACATTAGAAGCCTTTCTGGGAATTATGGTATCGTGGTATACTAAGGTCATGCAGGATGGGTAGAAACAAAAGTCGCACAAACCCTAAACCCTAAACCCTACATCTCAAACTCCTAGATCACCAGGCAGAATACAGCTTCTGAACACTTAGCACTACCATCTCGAAGTCTGCTTCAGGTACCATATAAGTTTAGGGTTTAGGGTTTAAGGTATGGCCCAAAATCAAAACTACTTAAAAGGGTGGTTATATAGGGGATATATAAAGGATTACTATAGGGGATATTAAGGGGGATACTAGGAGTTCAGACCATGGCTCATATACCGCAATCATACAAGGAATCCAGGATGTTAATGTGGGTAACTGCTGAGACTTCTGACGTATCATCAATAGAGTTTTCTGAGAGCAGATCAGATACAAACGCCGCCAGCAGTTTCTGGTGAAGGTTCCGTCGTTGGGCCCATGTTCCAGCTAGAAGGAATTCAGAAAAGTAGGCCCGGCAAGATGTAGAAAACAAGATCTCAAAAGGCATGACACGAAACAGCTGGGAACTGCAACGAAACCCTTAAATCCGAAAACCGAAACCTCTAAACCCTGAACCCTACACCCTAAACCTGAACTTCTAAGCCCAGGGGGTAAACCTAAACTCAAAGCCGGTGCCTTCAATGCGACGCGCGCACCGCTGGCGAACCCGAGCAGTTGCTGCAGGTGGTCCTCAAAGGGGTTTAGGGTTTGCGGCTAAAGGTTTAAGGTTTCGGGCTTAGAGTTCAGGGTTTACGGCTTAGGGTTTAGGGTTCGGGGGGGTTTGGGGTTTGGGGTCTAAGCTTTAGGGGCAAGTTGGGGACACAAAGGTCTACAAAGGGATGTATGACAATGTATAAAACCCCGACTCTTGTTCGCGCATGGGGTGTTGACACTACGCTGCTTCAGGGAGAGGTTTCTTGGAGTTTAAGCGTTAGCGTTGAAGGTTTGGTTTTACCCGGAAGTGGCATAAGGCTTTTTGAAAACATGAAGGCTTCTGGGAAATCATAGTGAAGCAATAACCTTAAACCTAAAACCCCTAACCCCTAAACCCTTAGCCCCTACACCCCTAAACCCCCAAACCCCTGAAACCCTAAACCCTAAACCCCAAAACCCCCCACACCCCGGCTTCAAGGCCAAGAGGTCCTCGGCCAATGGGGATGTCTAGGGCTAGGTTTAGGGTGTAGGTTTAGGGGTTAAGGGCTTAAGGGTTAAGGCTAAGGGTTTGGGTTTTAGATGTATCCCGCGTTACACTGTCCCCTAAGGGTTTAGGAAACATTGCGGACCTCTCCCTGAGGGATACCCTTAACCCTAGACCCCAAGCCCCAAACCCCAACCCCTAAACCATTAAACCCTTGAAACCTTAACCCCAAACCCCAAACCCCAAACCTTCAACTCCGAACCCTTAACCTGAAACCCCCGAACCCTTACCAATTTTCAGGATTTAGGGCCTGGGCCCTGGTGGGATAGCCTGGGTTGTATGTTAGTTTAGGGTTCACGCCAATATCCTTGATCCTAACGAAACCCTAAACCCTAAACCCCTAGCAGCCGGAATTTGCAACCCAATCTTGTTCATGACCACGAATACCTACAATCCTGTATCCCGCGCTCAAGCCAGCAAATTGAGTAGTGCCTTTGGTTGTTGAACCGTGTAGCATGACATCTCTCTTGCAGAATCTAGATTGTTCACTACGATTCCATGTTGGGAGACAATGGTACCGTGATTTTAAACGTATCTCACTTAACATTACAATTCTACTCACAAAGGCCTTCCCTTCTGGTCCTCCAAGGTACCGGCGGTGCCTGCACACAAGCGAAGCTATTGTGGATCGAGGAAATCTTGCACCATTCACTCCCCCAACACATACAGGTACATACATACACAGAGATATACATACAGTAACGCATACCTCCATCCCAAGTAGCATGGCAGCAAGAATTTGGAGGTGTCCCCAATGAAATTGGCTTGCTTCTGGTCGTATCATGAAAAACCAAAAAGGGTCTTAGGACATCCGCAGCGGATCTCATGAGTTCACTTGAGGACAAATAATCTGCAATGGAATATCGATGCTTTCTACAGCGTCTGCAGGTCATGCTTGTCCCAGCCCCTCCCTAATCTGAAACCGTATACCCTAAACGCCAACCCCCAATCCCCCTAACTCCCCCCTGCCTAAGCCCACCCCACCTAACCTAACCTGCCCAAAGAGCAGACCTGGGAGCGGTCTGTCCGACAGCGCCTCGGGCCGCCAGCGGAGCCTTTCCGGGTGGCGATGCAAATTTTAAGTTCACTTCTTGGAATGTCTATGCAATTGAAAAAATGACACCTCCTTTTTTCTTATCTTCTGTGGCTTTAGTATGAAAGTACAAGCAACAGCAAGGGTTTGGGGTAAATGTGTTGTGAGATCACGCTTTAGGACGTTCGCTCTTTGCATTTCGAGACTGGGTTTTAGCATGATAAGAAGAATTGTAATACATCATTCTGACTATTGCTGGTATTCTTCTTATAGGATTCTTTTCTGTGGATTTCAAGGCTCGCGATGTTGGGCTTTGGCCTCTACTGGAGGGATAAGCATGTTCCAAGTTTTCTGGCTTCTACTGTATGGTATAGATTCTGCTACCCTAAACCCTAAACCACTTCAGGAATTTGGGCGAAGGCCATGGGATTCATGTGCTAAGATTGAAAGGATTTGGGGGATTCTGCGTTTCCTGGAACACTTGCGAGAAATCCGTTCATTCAAACTACAGGGAGCAAACCATGAAAAAATGCGGTGCCGAAAACTTCTAGTGGAATGAGTTTGGAGCTAAGGATTTACAAGCTAGTGCTTAGGGATTTTGGGTTTAGGATTTAGGGTCTAGGGTGCGAGGTTTGGGCTTGGGTAGGGTTTAGGGCCTGTGGCAAGATTTAGAGGGTCAGAGGGTTTAGGGCTTTGGCCGGGAGTGGTAAATATTACTTACTTTCTCTTAGTGGGAATAAGGGAATATAATCCCTAAACCATATAGTAAGAAGTAATAAGAGTACGGCCGCCTGCGGTTTAGAGCTTCAAGTGTCATGGCAAGCTGAAGGGTATGTACACGCCTGAAGGGTTACAAAACTATCCACTGGCCCTGCTAGCAAAACATGTCCCATTACCAAGGTTCTGTTAATTTTTGGCCTGTTGCACCAGTGCGGGCAGGGTGGGAAGAATGATTTTCCCCTTTCAAAGTTCTTTACAAAATGCCCCTAACATCTATGATACTATGGAAGAACCTTGCTGGGAGAAATTTCCACATGCAGGCGCCCACCTCGTCATCAATGATCTACTACAGATCTGCATGGGCCCCCACCCCGAAATTGACACAACCCCCAATACTACTCCCACAGAAACTCAGGGAGGGTGAAACCACACGTTTTCGGGTTTCAGCTTTAGGGCTTGTCCAATCCCAAACCCTCCACCAACTCCCCTATCACTTGCTAGTGAAGGAATAAAAAAAAGAAACTCCTGAGTTCAAGCAAAACCAAGGCACTTTGGATGCTGCCGAGGCAAATTTTCCTTGGCATGGGCTTAGGCAGCCAAGCTAGGTCTACCGCCTGCGGCTACGGCTAAGGTATCGAGTTGAAGGGTTAGGGCTTTGGGGGTTGAGGCGCATAATCCTCTCATAATCCCTATCTCTAGACTCTAGGATCCTAAAGAAGGCTATGTTGTTATAACCCCTATAACATTGTGGTATACTCTTCCATAAAAGCCGTTTCCAATTTTTCAAGCCCCGACTCTAAGAGCCGCGGTAAACAAAGCCTGCTCCTGGCGGCCCCACGCGGCTTAGGATTCAGGATTTGGTAGTTTCCCTAAATAGGGGGGCCCCAATGTAGACCCCCAAATACTATAATCCTTATTATAGGGACCCCCAAAATAGTACCTCTAATTTTGGGAAATCCTCATTTGAGCTCCTGTCTAAACTTCTAGTATAATGTCCCCCTTTAATGAGCCCTGTCATACTCCCCCATCTCAACCCTCTCGAAGGAAATTTAGACTATGACTCATTTAGGTGCTCAGCATCAAAGTTCCCACAGAAAGCGTTACGCTCCTTTTTGCACTGCGTGGGCTTGGTGCAAAAATCGGCAGTGAACCCAGTTGTCAGGGGAGGCTGCGGGTGTGGTCGGGTGGGTTGCTTGAGCGGTCGCATACATGCATCGCACCTATCCGACAGGTGCTCAGCATCAAAGTTCCCACAGAAAGCGTTCCGCTCCTTTTTGCACTGCGTGGGCTTGGTGCAAAAATCGGCAGTGAACCCAGTTGTCTCCCGTCTCTCCCAATCCTCAAGCAACGCCTCTGCTGAACAACTGGAACCAGAGCTTCGCGTTTATACCCGAAAGAATAAAAGTCTCCGCCCACTCAACAGTTGCAGGAAAGGAACCCAGGGCACCAAACACGAGCCGTCTGGCTCGGGGGTTCAAGTTATGCAAAAAAGTGAGCGCCCCAATCTCTTGGATATAGATCTCCATCGTTCTGGCATTCAGCCATCTGCCGCGCCTTCTGACCAGTTCAGAGTCCTCTGAGGCTTGCAGGAGCCACGTCGCCCCACCCGCTCGGAGCGAGCCAAGGTCCAGCTGTTTTCCAGAGGGCATCTCCAGCTGATGCATGCCAAGCGCCTTAACCAGCGAAGAGAACCTGCTCCTCAACGTCGACGGGGAAGAGGGCCAAAGTCTAGCTTCCTTCGGCAGGTTCTTAAAGACAAGGGCAACCAATCTGAGCAAGTCCGGCTGGTCAAGCCGTGCGACCTGATGGCGGGCCGCCTTGAACCTGGTCTTGGGCTCAGCAATGGAGAGGAGGAGGTAGTCGCATGTGTCCTCAACATCGCCGGGCAACAGGAGGTCGGCACGAGTAGCTGCCAAGGTCTCGCCAATCCTCAAGAGAGCCCCCCAGGTGAGGGCAATGCAGCCGGCTGTTCTGGGCCATCCCCACAACAACGCAGTAGAGATGATAGCCAGCAAGGCCTGCCAGGCAAACGCGACGTCCCAGGCAGGCTGGAGGCAGCGTCTCAGGCTGGGCTCCCTCGAGGTAATGGCATTGATCACCTCCAAAAAATGAGAATAAGGCCAGCCAGCGTTGAAAAGGTCTCGCCCGTACTCGACCAGATGTCTGTTCGCTTCGGAGACGCACCGAGGCCCGACGCCACAGATGTCGTCCAAAGCACAACCTCGTCCCGTGAGCCATCGCTCAAAAGCCTCGAGCAGCTTGTCGCGCCTGACCTGTGTAGGCCGCTCCACGGGGCGGCCTTCGGCAGAACCAGGCCTGCCCGGGCAGCTTGCCTCTTTCTGTCAGCGGCATCGCGGGGGGGTGCAGGGTGCCATGGCTCAAGCGAGGCAGGGCAGCAAGCAGAAAACAAAGCAAAACCCTGAACTCCCCAAACCCAGGCCCCTCCCCATGAAAACCTAAACTAGAGTCGAAGAGGCGGCTGCTGTGGCGCAAGGAGCGCCAGCCAAGGTCAGGCCGCAATGCAGGTGGAGGCGGCAGAAGGAGGCAGACGAGCCTGGCCCAGTTAGCGGCCCATCTGCGGAGCTTCGGCAGGGTGGCAAGCTCGTAAAGCCCATCAAAATCCAAGCTGGAAGTAATGGTGCTGCTGGATGGCTCCGGCAAAACCCGGTCCCTGGTAGGGCAGTCGGCAGGGTTCAACCGGGTAGGGCAGAATTCATAGAGGTCTGTGCGGCAGTGCTCGCATGTGCAGAGCTCCGGGCTAGAGGCCGGGGTCCTGTGTTGGACATTTCCCACAGCCCTCACTTCAACCTCTGCTGGTTGCGTACTTTGTAGTGGCTGCTTTAGCTCTCCCGCCTTCGCTCCTTCGCCGTGGAGCCTCCTTGCACCACCTTTTCGCCTGCCGCCTACCCGGCGCTCCGTTCCTACCAGGAACCGCGTGGCTTCTGCCCTTCTGAAGAACGCACTCTCCATGGCACGACCCTGGCTTTGAGGGCTTTGGCTCTGCTTTTCGTTTCCCTTCGTCTGGGTGTCCCTGGCATCCTTGAGCAACCTAGGAGGTCCAAGATGGCCTGGCTGCCCGAATGGAAGCGCCTCTTGGAACTTGGCGCGACTGAGGCCTTCACTGCCTCTTGCCCTTTTGGGAGCCCTCATCACAAGGAGTTCCGCTTCCTGCAGGTTGGCATTGATCTGGCACCGAGCGAGAGAGCCTGGGTCTGTTGCAGCAGGGCACCTTGAAAGGGGGATTCCCGCACGAGTTCGGGAGGGTCTAGGCCTTCCAAAACAGGCGGGTCGGCTTGCATTGCAGGAGCTGGGCTCAGGAGAGGCTCGGGCTTTACACGAGGAGGCGGGCCTACAAGGGAAGCTTGCTTCTTCAGAGGGAGCCCGGCCAGCGGCGGAGAAGAGTGCTGAGCCGAATTCTTGCTGCTTTCTGCATGCTCGAGAGCTGCTGCGAGAGCTGTGGCAGGAGGGCGGCAACCGAAGAAATCTGGTCCGCAAGCTGCGCGGTGGTGACACGCTTGGCCTTTGGGCTGGCCTTCTGCTTGGCCGGCGGGCCGGGCTTGAGAGGCGGACCCGGCTGGCTTTCCACCTCCTCCTGGCCCTCTGCTGCAGAATAAAAAGCCATCCTCTGAGACTCTACCTCCGAAAGCCAGAGCCGAGCAGCCGTCAGAGTAGCCTCCGCCATTGGTATGGCATCCGGCTGGGTCGGCACATAGGGGAAGATCCCAGAAGCCTCTGTCTCTTCGGTGTACTCCTGAAGGAGGGGCAGGACTTCTTCCCCTACATCTAGCAAAAGCACAGGAGCCTCCATGTCTATACTTTGCTCTTCCCCTTGTTCGTCCAGCACAGCACACACATTGGCAGGTGGACGGCCTCCGAAGGGCCTAGCAAAGAGTCTTCCAGAGCGCCTTGAGCAGCGATCAGGGCCGAGGGAGCCAAGAACCCGGAAGGGATCGCTATCAGGATGCCGCCGACTCGGCGCATCACGGGCACAGCATAAGTCTGAGTAGACTGCACGTAGCGGCTCGGCAGCTCCCAAGTAAGCACATGGAGGCTGAGCCCTTCCTCTGCCAAGGTAGGCAGAGTCATCGAGATTGAAGAGGTGGCAGCGCGAAGCCGGCGGCCTCGCAGTACACAGAAGCCTCTGCAATCGAGGCAAAGGCGTGGGACACGGAGTCTCCAGACTCGAGCGGGCCCACTGCGGCCCTGTACCTGGTATAGGTAGCGAACCTGGCAGGCTGAGCGGTGGCAGCGCCAGGCAGACGCAAGACAATGTACACACGATTAGCAAAGCCAGGCAAGGCAGGAGTCGGCAAAGGTTTGCGGACAAGGTCGTCCAGCACCGCCCGGGCCCAGTGGCCAGCGATCCACGCACGAGAAGCCCTTGCTGCAGGCGAGGAATCAGCAGGACCGGAAGCAAGAGAGCGACAAGCCTGAAGGCAGCGCTCGGGCACAGGCGGGAATCCAGCTTGGATCTCCTCGTGGCTACGAGGGGGCAGGGAGTCAGGGCTGCAGGTGAGGGATCCGGAGCCACACTCAACGGAAGGACCAGGGTCTACTTAACCCAACTAGAAACCGAACCCCTATCAGAGGGAGAGGAGGCACGGGCAGGAGCAATGGCCAGGTTTCTGAGGGCGTCAGCCAGTTCGGCAACCGCAGCTGTAAGCCTCTGTTCCTCAGGACTCATGCACGTACCCCCGAAGCCTAGCTTGGGAGGCGGGCTTGCGACCTTCGCGGTCCAGGTTGGCAGGCCTAGGTACAACCCCTATTTTCTGGGAGGGCCCCGGCAAAAACAAGGAGAACCTGAAGACCCAAAGACAGGTAAGGACCCCAAGCAGGAACCCAGCCAAAAACACAGACCCCGTAAGAAACAAGGAGCCCGAGCAATGACCAGGGCAAGCGAGCCCGAACCACCCCGAAGTGCTAGCCGCCTGAAGCAAAGCAAGGGCTTGATTGAGCCACATTTGCTTGAGCGGTCACATACATGCATCGCACCTATCCGACAGAGTTTAGGGTTTCGGGGCTACGGCTGCGAGTCCACCTTTGACCAAATTGGGCAACAAACGCCACTTGCAAATTTCACAAAACAGGGCCCAAAGGTTTGGGAACAACCTGTTGCTTCAGATTTTCCTCAACCAGCGAAAGATAGATAGACCCGAACTCTAAACCTTAAAGGCTTACATGTCCCTGCAAAACACATGGAAAGCAAAATTAAGCTTCCAACGCTGCACTGTGAGCCTATGAAGCCACACACTTTAAGATTTGGGGCTTAGGGCTTAGGGTTTCAGTGCTTAGCTTAGGTTTTAGGGTTGAGGCTTTATGGATTAGGGTTAGGGTGAAGAATTTAGGGTAATCATGTGTTTCGGGATGCAGGGTTTAGAGACTTGGAATGAACCTCAGGCGGCAGCGCCGAAATCGCTATACGAGATACACTTAAGGATTTAGGGTACAGGAGCATGCTTGGGGATGCCATCGACAAACTCGGAAAAGGGGTTGAAAAGGTCCACTTTAAGGATTGTTTAAGGACCCATTCGAGGAACTCAGAAAACGCCACCGCCATGGACAACTATGGGTAGTCAAGCGGCGACCGTGTGGTCGAACAATAGCACGTCGGCGCCCGTCATCCTTGTCTTGCACTAGTTGGGATTGGGGTTTAGGTTTGATAGTTTTTATTAAGTAGATAGAATATGGAATAGTGGTGATCTTAATACAATGTATATTATGTCTACATAAGGGGGACTATAAGGCTTTGCGAATGTGGATGCTGCCATAGAAATTCCAGAGGCTTCTTCGTAATGTTGATGGGGCAAAATCCTACACCATCCTACTTACTTGTGCTTGAGGGGATTTGGTGAGAGTATAGGGGCTGCTAGAAGGGTTTCCAGGCGCATGCTTCATGAATCCCATCCACTCCCCTCCTTGACCACCACCCCTAAGTAACTTACATCCCAGGTATTCACCAATGAGATCCAGCCTCAGGGCGTTTGGGTATCAGGCAATCATTGATGGTCCGGTCCCCGATTAGTTTCCTCAAGTAGGAAACCCCAACACACTAAAGCCGTTCCTTGAAAAACACCCAAACAAGTGCCCCTAAGAGATCTCTAAAACCTACAAGCCCGGTAGAATTTCCACCTTCCATGTACTTGTACAATCTCTTGTCCATTTGATTCGATGTTGTATCAAAAATCTCCAAGGCTGACTGAAACTTCCTCCCTTAAATTCCCACCCAGGCCTCCTTGACCGCACCCACCCGTTTCTAGGGCGCCTGGAAGAACAACTCCACCCCCCAACTTCCAAAGTCCTTCTACACTCAACCTGACTCCCAAAGATGCAAAAACCAGCAAATCCTAAGCCCAGCGTCGCTAGCTCCCACTCGAAGTCCACGTTTGTGTCTGCGCCATAACCTTAACTGGTTCCGCATTGACATACTACTAAGATCAAAGACTTTATCTTCTTGCCTGTGCTTTAGTATGCTCAAAGTTGACAATCCTGTTGAACAAGGACCCTGCTGATACTGCAGTTGCCTAAGTGACAGAGTAAAGCTGGGATCTAGGGCCCGAAGCACGCTGTGGGTTATGTGGAGCAGGCCCCTTACCAGCTATGGAGGGCAGCCTAGGAATAAAGCCCCCAATCAATCGTAAGTCTGAAGAGGAGAAGATATGGTGGAAATTTAAGCAAGTATAGTCCCCCTCAAGTAGATCGAATATGGGGTATATGGGGATCTTATTCTAATATACCCAAAACCATATTCTATCTACTTAGGGGGGACTATCAGCCTTGGGCTAGCCTTCACTTAGCCCTGTTTAGGCAATAGCGGGTGGGTCCATTGCTGCTATCATCTATTCACAGGCTGGCCGTCCGATGGGACCGGGCAACTCTTCAGCACGTGAAATCACTTGGCCATATGAGCTATAGTCTGAACTCGCAGTATCCCTCTTAATACACCCCATAATACTCCCCTAAATAATCCCCCTTTCTAAGCCCTTTGAGAAGTTTCGACTATAGTGCATATGAAAGTCCTGCCCAGAGGGCCCCAAACAGCTGCTTTCTCATCATTAAGACGTCCAAGAAGAGAAACAAAGTGGTCAGCTACTGATTGTTAGGGTTTAGGCTTTATAGTCCCCCTTAAGTAGATAGAATATGGCTTTGGGTATATTCTAGTAAGATCCCCATATACCCCATATTCTATCTACTTAAGGGGGACTATAGGGTAAGGAGCTACTTGAGGGCTATGCAGGTGCAGCTGAAGGTTTCCTGTTCACAAATTCCCTTCAACGCATGACGCGCCCCTTCCTGTCCAGCCGGCCCATTGAAGTTTCACACGTGTGTAGATCCTAAAGTTGAGACTCGATGCGCACAAAATCAAGTAGGGCTCAGGGCAAGGGATTGGGCCTACAGTCCAGGCTTGAAAAGACAGAGTGGTCATCTCTCCCAAAGACATCCAGGTTCCTGCTCTTCCTCTTTGCCCTTGTCCCACTACAGAACCGACCTAGAGGTGTCTCAAACTAGGGCATTGAAGTATTAAAAGGGGAATACAGGAGTTCCTTTAGGGATTGCTTGTGGACGATGGTCTTTAAAGCTGGTCCATACTTGGAGATTCATTTGCAATTACATGTGGAGAGATGCAAGTTGGATGTTTAGGATTCTGGCCTCACATAAAGGACCTTCAACCGAAACTAAACACATGAAAAGTCGCTGTATAAGGTTTAGGGGTTAGGGTTTAGGACTTCTGTTTTGCAAGGCTCTTTTTCGACTGAACTTGAGGATTTAAGGTCTACTGTGAGCTTTAGGCTCTGGGGCGGGGGGGCCTAAACCGCAGACCCCAAACCCTGAACCCTAATCCCTAAACCCTAAATCCCTAGACCGTATGGTGATTCGGGCGTAGGGTGGGGAAGCCTGATGGGATGATCCGGCTTACGACACAATGACAATAAGACTATTCACTAGGTGAGCTACAATCGATATTACCCAGATCGGGAGTTTAGGGTTTAGGTTTTAGGGTCCGGGTTTAGGGTTAGGGTCTAGGGTTAGGGTTTAGGGTTTAGGTTTTAGGGTTAGGGTTTAGGGTTAAGGTTCAGGGTTAAGGTTTAGGGTTTAGGGTTAGGGTTGAGGGTTCAAGGTTAAGGGTAATTGATGGACATGGGCTCCTTATAAAGGACCGTAGTAGGGACTATATTGATCTACAAGAGAGACCCTTATGTCCACTGTTAAGGGCCCCGGAATAAGCCTAATATTGAGCGTAGCTTACGTGCCTTATAAAGCATGGCGGCTTCCTAGATTTCACGCCCCTTTCAATAGTCTAGTGGGGTCTATATTGAGGTACCCTTATTTTGGGAAACTACCATACTAAGGTCCCTTGGTATTGGGACTCCGAACGAAGATCGACCAATTTAGTAGAATTGGCTGAAATGTGTATATTTTGAGAATTAGATGTAACTTAGGAACAGACCACAAGCTTGAGCAAACGCCTAAAACTCCGACAGTTTCATCCTGGTGGCTCAGCAATGCCGAGAACAGCGGCCGCTGGCCGTCGTCCCACACCACATAGCCTACGTTTTGGGGGGGGGCTTTCGGGTCTGAGGCTTACAGGTTTGGGTTCAGAGTTTAGAATTTTGTGTCTAGGGCCTGGGGAGCCTAAGGAAGCTTGATCTCGAAGAACGCTGGATGCAAAGCCTGGGCTCATACAGTACCTAGCCAGGTAAACATACCCGCTGCTTGCGTGGCTTCATGACAGGGGTTGAGGGACTTCGTGACTCGGTGACCCAGGGCTTGGGTACAGGAGCTAGGCCTTCTGGTAATGGGATTTCAGTTCGCCCGACACGCAAAAGAAGGACCCTATGACCATCTTATGACCCTTGTAGGGTTTTGTAAGGTTCTCAAAGGGTTACCAAAGCCCGCTTGTTCGCGTAGGGTTCAAGGCCAGAAGGAAGGATTGTCCTGGTGGGATCGAAGGTGCCTTCCAAGCTGGCCACTGTCCACGTCTCGGGAAGGTCTGATATGGGCTCTCCACAACTTAGGGCTATCTCTTTGGTGTTCCCTATAGCCAGGATTATGGTCCTTTCGGGAGAATGCAAGGGGTGTTCCCCAGGATCTGATCTGACAGTCTGTCACATCTGGATACGGCATCGCGGCAAAGTGCAACTTTTCCTTTCGTAGGACTAAGAGGGGCCGCGTCTCACACCACGCGAACCCGGTCACGCTGCCACCACTGCTTGAAATGCTTCAGCTGAGCTGTTGCTTCCAGGAATAGAAGGTGTGCTGTCACTTAGGACTTGCCCACCACACCGTTCGCTCTTGGCGTCGAAGGTGGGATTGGAGCATCTCCTGGAGAGAGGAAGTGCTTTGTGTCCCTAGCCTCAACTGCTGAGCCTCCTTGCTCTACCGACAATCCTTCTTATTCCTTGTGTGAAGGGGATGTCCATTTCATTGTCCTTTTCATTCTGCAGCGTTCCAATACGTACGCCCCCTGAGCCCCAAAGCTTGCACCGAAAACCCTACATCCTAAAGCCCTAAACCCTGAACCCCTAGATCGTAAACCCCAAACTCCTAAATCCTAAACCCCTGCTGATTTCCCTGAGCTCTGTATATTCCATATGACCCCCATACAGGGATCGTACTATTGCGAATATTTTGAGCAACCCCAAACCCTAAACCCT